TAACCCGCCCACGAATTCTCTTTACATCTCACACTGTCCTGGCCACTAAGGAGGCGGTGGCTCTCGGTTATCAGTGCGGGTCCCAGCCCTCAAGGCTGGCTGCACCCCCAGTTTCCAATTCAGGAGGTCTAGGAGAGACACCCCAGGGCAGTCTCCATGCAGGCAGAGGTAACGCTGATTTCGCCAGCCTGGGGCCACTCAGCTGGGCCATGAGACAAGGCCGTGGGGACAGAGAGGTGCCGCAGAGTGAGACAGGTGGCTGAGGCAGCAGCTAGAGAAACCGCCTTCATCTCCGTTTTTTAAAATGCATGCCTGGGGTAGAGGGTAGGCATCCGTGGCCACAGCAGAAGATGAGGCAAGTGATCATATTTTTCTCCTCACTTTTCTGTTGGACGTTTTCTTTCTGATAAGCAGCTAGAGAAGAATAAAACAGACAAAATGAAGACAAAAGGAGAAATGCCCAAATTAAGGCTTGGGAAATGAGATGGGCAGAATGACAAGTTTAAGAACAGGTTTTATGAAGCAACCAGCAAAACTGGTTAAATGGCAAACATCCCTCTACTCAGCTCTGGGAGGGTATTCTGAAAGGTGCAGATGAGGGTGCAGGAGCACCTCTGGCCTCCACGGGGAAGTCACGCTCATATCCCGACCCGTGGGGACGGCTGGTGCTTTTCCCAGGCGGAGACAGGACTCTGTGCAAGAGACTCCACCAAGGGGGACAGGGGCCCTACGAGCGGGCCGTGATGTCGAGTACCGCCACCTGTGTGCACCTGCGACCGTGGAAGTTCCCCGACTCGCCTGCCCCATCACCTCTCACTCTGGACCAGCCATTTCTCGGCCCATGCCTCTGCTTCTGCTCTGAGGCTCTTCGCATCGGCCTGAGAAAGCCACATGCTCCTTACTGGCTCCATTACAAACTTAAGAATCCCAGCAGCTGTTGGGTCCTTCCATCGCTCAAGAACTGATGAGGCTGAATTGTTCGGCGAATCCTCTCCAACTCCGGCCATGCTGTGCATCCCTCTCCCCACCTGAATGACTGTTATCACTGGCTTCTCCCCCACCAGTCAGCACTGCTCTCTTCCCGCAGTGCCTCCATCCCAGAAGCTCACAGATGTTTCCCAAGTGAGCATGTCCCTCCTCCACACGCTATGGGAAGGCAGGGAATAAACGCACTACGGAGCGAGAGCGGGACACATCGGCTGACGGACTGAGGACCGTCCACGTGTGTCCAGAGCCATGGAGCCACGCCCTACTGCACACAGCAGCTCTTCCCCCGGTCACCCCGGTGATCTGAAGTGACTGCGGGATGACCGTGGAACTCATTCTTCCACAGACTGCAGCTTCTCCTTTATAAACTAGGGCCCTCTCTTCTTTTATGAAAAGCATGAATAATTTTATAATTTTCTCACCAGAAACAAACAAAATCAATAAAATCCTCTGCCCTCATCCCTGCTGCTGTCCTGATGCTTCGGGCTCCCTCCCAACCCTCGGCCCCACTGTCCTTCCCCTCATCCCCGACCTTCCATCTCCCTTTGCATCTGACTCCCCTGGAACAAATCAAAGACAATGATTCTCCTGTTGCTAAATCCACTCATCTCTTTTCATTTTTCTCCCCAACGACCTCCAAAGCGCCAGCAGGCTGCGGACCTCCACCCAGCACTACAAGTGCCTTCCTCCTTCAGCCTTCCTTCCTGGCCCCTCTTCCGCCGCTTCAGCCCTTTGCTGCCAGCACTATGAGGTTCGACGAGGTTCCTGTCTCGTTCTGGCTCTTACTGTACATAAAAGGCCTGGGAGCTCTCATCTATGACCACGTTGGGGTAGCCAGTGGTCTTAAGTCATTAAATATCCCCCCTTTCCCTCCTTCTGCACTGGGGGTCGGCCTTACCCCCCTGGCCCACTCACCTTCTGTGAGGCCATTCCTTGCTCTGGCCAAGGAAAGGTGAGCTGAGCCACTCGGTATGTAACCCGCCCCGTCTGTGTCCTCGTACCCAGTGGTCCTGGAGGGCTCCCCGAGGGACCGTGAGGAGCAGAGCACCTGCCAACGTGTCAGACCCGTACTGAGGAGGAAAGCAGTCTTTGCTGCAGTGAGCCACTGCGGTTTTCCAGGCCGTGCGTGGCGCAGCATGACTCAGAGACAGGACTCTTTCATAAGGACGTATTCCCAGCCCCAATTACTCTGCTGTCGTGAGCACCACCGCAAAATCTCACTGGAGCACCATGTCTGTCACCGCCCTACACACACGCAGAACGGAGCGTGAGCAACAGCGCGCTTCCCCCTCAAGAAGAGACGCTCAGGGAAATGGTCTGACTGTCCTCTGAGATGTTTCCTTTGTGTTTCGGGTGGCCTTCCATGAAGTCCAAATGTTGGCTGGTTTAGTAAGCCACTGCAAGAACACGGAGAGGTCGTCTTTACAGGATGTCTTCCTTTCTCTCTTTAGGGATCTGAGCATCACATAATCTTTTCATTCAACATGTATCAGTACTTCCCCTAGATAAATGACATCTGTTACTTCTTGCCCCCTGTAGCATGCTTATGTTTCCTGAATTTTTTTCTTATAAATCTGGCATTTGACACTTAAGAATATTTAATAACGTATGCAAATTTAGAGATTTTATTCTTCTCCTAGGAGCATTCCTTAATTTACAAAAACGCCTCCTCTCAAGCGGGCACCCTCTGACCCGCAGTGCTTTCACGGAGAAGCTCCACGCTGACACCACAGCCTCCTGCACCACCACGTCCCCGCTCCAAAGCCAGATGCCACCACTTCCTGCGAGGGTGGTCGTGCAGATTCACGACGTCACGTACCAAGTGCTCCGAACAGCACCTGCCACGTGTCGGCGCTCTGCCTGGGCCTCAGCTATCACAGGCACAGAGACTTCCGCCTGGGGCTGATGGAGCACCAGGAAGGTGCCAGCCACGGAGGAGCATGTCTGCTCCACCTGTGAGGCTGACGGGCGGCACAGCAGGGTTCTGAATCCAGTTCTGCAGAAAGTCAAAGATACCCTTCCAGTCATAGGTATGCTGTGTTACCACCAAGGACATTTAGAAGTTTTATTTTGTTTTAAAGGAGGGGGAGCGGAAGGAGGACTGCTGATATGGGCATGGAGCAGGTCTCCAGGCCACCCGGCGGGACAGCGTGCGGCGGGGTGCCCGCACAGCTAGGTGTACCCTCAGTATTTCTGGGCACTCGTTCACAATGCACACTTCACTGTACAGGAGGACAGTAACGGTGGGTAACGTGTACTGAGCAGTAAGACACAGAATTCAGCCATTTGCCCAGGGTCACAGAGCTGGCTAGTGGCAATGCCCAGACTCTGACCGGGCAGCAAAGCCCCAGGCCAGAGTTCTTCACCTCCGGTATACACCTGGGAAAGGTCACCCAACTGCCTCTGTGTCCACGCCCAAGGGGAAGAGCATGGGAGCCCAAACCAAAGGTGTCTGCAGAGCAGTGAGGTGCGGACAGACAACGGGAGGGAACAGAAAAGAAGCCACCCCGAAGAGTAAGCTGGGAGGAAACAGGAGTTGTGCTACATGACAGGATAACTTCTCAGATTTTAAAGCTTACTATTTAAAATAAAACTGACCCTCAAAGTCATCCTAAAAGTAAAATGATTAGAAATGATTAAGAAACAAAACATACCCTAGAACTCGTATATGCATAGGTAGAACATTCTAGTTTTGCTTACTAAAGAAAAAAAAATATCGCTATACTTCACAGAAAACATACACAAATATGCATGTAATTCTGTCAATAATTTGTTTAATAATTTATTTTTAAATAGGTTTAACTCTACTGAAAAAATAATGACTTGAGGTATATTCAATTTCCTCAAATGAGCGCAAGGTTTGTAATAAACATCAACAGGGATAATTTTCCATGTTACCACAATCAGAGTTTAAACTAATACGAATGTGTCACACACAGACATTTGGAGTCCTAATGGAACACTACTTCATCGAGCTCCCTGGGATGACCCGTGTGGCCTGGCGGGGGCAGGGACACTCGCCAGCCAGCAAACGTGTCAGAACCACTCGGAAGCACTGCAAATGGGCACGGACATTCAAAGGGTAAGGGACGCTTTCCTAATGTTGGCAGGGTTAATTATTTTTTAAAATAGTATTTAGCTGAAAAAATGGAATATATCTTGTCCTTAAAAATATCTTTTCAAAGAATTATTTCATTTCTATTGCTTTGCAATAAAACTTCCTACAGAAGACAACCTTTTCTATTAGTTACTCACAAAGCAAGGTGCGAATCCATGAGAGTGCTTTTTTTGTTCTACTCAGACACACCTCAGATTATATTTCAAATAAAAAGGAGTAAAATGCACAGTTAAAAAGAGCTTCTCATAAAGTGGACATCAGCACATTCTGTGACTTGACCATACAAAATGTATTAACCAAACAACAGCAAGCGAGAATTCAAACTAACTTTTTTTGTCCCTATGTAACTCGCATACACACGCTGCCTACCTAAACAGCAATTTCAGGAGTACAACAGAAATATGATCAAGTTAGGAATATAATCAAGCAGTCTTTAAAACTAAAACGTCTTTTCAACATGCTTATTTGAAATGAAAGTAACTTAAATGAGTTCAACAATGTCGCACTATCAAATACTGTAACATATTAATGTAGATTCTATTTTAAAAATGAGCCATCAACATAAAAAAAAGAATGCAAACCATAAAATAAACTGAAAAGAAGAGACCACAACTAACCATCAATTTATGGGCAAATTGTATATCCAACAAAGAAAACTTAAGAGACACAGAAACTTTGATTAACCAAGAAAAGATACTTTTGGAAGTTCTTCAGTATGAGCATGCTGTTACATAAATACGGAGAATTCACATCCGAAAACACCAACATTTTTGAAAGTCTGTTTTTAGGTTATTTATATTAAGCTAAAATGAACAAGCTCTTCAGGACTGCATGTACTTTCTCACTGAAAGGGAAAATCAAGTCATTAAAGCAGCTGCTCCTTAATCTAGCCTACCTTATTTTTTGGATTGGATGTGTTCATTACACTTCGAGTCTCTTTTCCAGTATAAATGACAACACCTATTACCGTACCTGCAAAAACACGAAAGTGGTCCTTACAGAGATGCCTCAAAGGGTAAGCACAGAGAGAACACTTTCTAATCAATTGTCTTGATGGAAAATATTATTCACTACTTAATTTTATATAAATTTATCTAACAGCACATTTGATTGCCTAGGTCAAGAAAGCCTAATGTCAACTTTCAAAATAAACTTTGAGGAACTCAACTTATTTCTTAAGCTATACAAATTTACCTCCATACAACATTAGAAAATGTACTGATAGCCTTTTCACTGTCAAGAGAAAGGGTGACATCGCTCGTCGGTTCACGTGTGCAAACACCACAGCTAAGTGGAGAGAGGCTGTGTTCTCAAGTGGTCAGATGCATCATGGGACCTTCACACCACGACCGCACCAGCTGAACCACTTTCCCTGAGCGAGACACTCGGGTACTACGAGGCGTAAGAGGCTCTGCTGACATCTGAGCACATACACAATTAAAACAGTAAGAGACAATTACATGAGTAACATTCGATGTTGGATTTAGATGTTATTAGCCTTTTTTACTCATGTCTCCTAAAAGTTTGGTTTTCTAAGTGTGTATGTCTATCAAACTTAAGGCAAAAGAATACTAAAACACCCCTAGAACAACCCTTGGATTACAAAGGCTCAGAGGCACTCACCTCTGTGATGTTAAATTAAAAACCACAGAAGTCTGTTTCTAAACTGCAGCTATGCATAATTTATATTCCCAGCTTTTGTAAATTCTGATGAGAAATGATTAAAGAAAGAAAATCACGTCCACAAATACTGAGACCAACACCACTGCAGAATTCACTATAATAATTATACAAAAACTCTTTGATGTCACATTAATGTAATGTGTGAAATTTAGTGCGTCGTAAGTCAGGACCCATGGAATAAATGTGATCCTAGCGATCTCTTGGATTTATATGAACTGATAGCTGCAAATCATACGCATTAGATAATGAACGGTTTCCTCCATGGAATGGTCAGGAAGACAGGGAGGTGCTAGAGGGCTGCTCAGCGGTCACATCTGCAGAGGTTACACACATTTCTTTCAAAATAAGCACTTCCTTTCTTCCCCCCGTTTTAATTGTGAGCCGCTTGCAGAGCTGTGCGGTTGAATTTCCTGAGCCCCCTGAAAGCAGAGCAGCCCCTCCAGCACAGAGGGCAGCCCAAACTGCACAGATGCGACCTTTGTAGGGCAGTGCCCAGCAGAGCTGCAGATGGCAGGTCTGCACTTAGCGCTCAGGAAAGCACGGACTACGTAATGACCCGGTGCCGTAGAGGACCCCACCCCAAACACACACAGCTCTTGTGTCAGTCAAACAGTACATTCAATCTGACTGCGTCAGTAGTTTCTTCCTATTTTGCCAATTAAACTTAAACAAAATACAGGAGTGTCTCATGTGAAATAAGCTCACTAATGTTAAAAAAGTACAAAAACAGAAGACAAACTGCAAAATTATTTTTAATATTAGCAGAACAAAGAGTCTCAGAAAAGACTTAAAAATTAATCAGGCTAGAAAACACTGTCCTAAAATCCGGACAAACTATTAGTAATGTTGATTCTAGGCTGGTATTGCAGTTACAAGTATCCAAAATGCAATCTGAGAAATGACAAGACTAAGAAAACGTAATGCATTCAGATACACATAGATAGCATATATAATCAGTATTGCAGGTTAAATATACTGTGCGTAAAGAGTATTTAACAGAATTCCTCCCGTGGTTTTCCTTGTATAATCTACTGAAGTCTGGTGAAGGCTCTCCTGTGTATTATCTCATCCCATTCTCACTAAAAAGGAATTAGAATAATGCATTTTTTTCCGAGTCTGTCATGCTTTTTAACTACTAAAATTAGTGAAGTCAGTATGGAGTATTTGCAGTATTCTCCATTCTTTTTGACAAAGGGCACCTCCTTACGGACTAGTACAGGCTGAACCACTGACCAAACCCTGTATGTATGACAAATCTACCTATATATACACATATCATATATATACATATGGCAAAGGGGTTACCCTGTTCATTTTGGAAACAAGACCTGAGAGGGAACACAACAGAGCACATTCATCAGAAAGTCTGACAGAGAGAACGTGTCAGAGACAGACAGACACACAGACAGACCTCAAGAACGCTCAACCAACCGAAGTATTTCCTGTCACTTAGGCACCTGCTGGCTCCCGTGCAGAACTGCTTTCCTCGTGCCAGTCTCAACAAAACCCCGAGCATGGGCGGCCCACCCACTGCAGAGTTTTCGTGTGCCTGCAACAGATGGGGAGCGCAAAGACGGCCAGCAAAGACTACGGATTTGCCTCAGGAAAGCAACACGGAGAGACCGAGCCAGGGACACAGGCAGACACTGCGACCTGCACCAGGTCTGGGTCCCGCCCAGCGAGCATGCCATGCGTCCAGGGATGGCAGGGCGGCTGCACCCATTTCCCAGCAGCCAGGACTGCCCAGCCCTGAGACCCGAGGTGCAAGCAGCAGCAGGGTGCAGCGCTGCTGTGTCCTCCGCGGCCCCCACTGCCCTCCTGCACCACAGCTCGCGGGTCGCGTCCCTCAGGGGACTGCAGTGGGGCAGCTTCTCCTGCTTTCCCGAGGCCCGTCGGGCAACCGTTCTGCCGCTGGAGCCTCACACACCATGCCCACTAAAGGGACAGTGTGATTTTAAGTTTCCGATCTGGCACGAGGACTAGTCTCATAAAGTATCATGCCAAAAATTACCAAGAGAAATGAAACCACACAAAAACCAAAAAGAATATATATGTCCCAATTTTTTCAACATAAATCATCAAACTGCTATAAAAGTGTCCAAGTGTTTACTCTCATTTTCTGTATTTAACACAATCAGTACCAGCCCTGGACCCCTGTCTACGCACAGGCCCCCCTCTAGAGGGAGAGGTCACCCTGGACCGCCATCGGCACACACGCCCAGCAGCCCTGCTCTGGGGGGGGGTCACCGCCGTGGCCACACACGCCCAGCAGCCCTGCTCTGGGGCACATCTCTGCTTCCAGGCTCTTGGCAGTTTAAGATCAGAACACTCTCTTGTCCACTTATCAGTTGCAACGTGGCAGCTCTCTCGGACACTGACTCTGCTCTGGGAATGACGTTCACTGACCGACAAGGGGAAGAAGATGGAGAGCACCACAGGCAGTTGTGTTTGTCCCTTTTCAGGGACCCTTGGCCCTCGGATCCTCTGTGGTGTTAACGTGAGCCCTCATTCCCATGCACTCAGAACCCCAGGATGAGGGAGGAAGGCCCAAGTTCACTTCACCTAGGAGGCAACCTGAATTCAGTGGACACATATTTAAAAAATAAGATTTAAAAAAATTCTGTTCTTTCTTTCTCAACTTATAATCAAGTATAAAGAAGATATGAGCCCTTAAATTACTCCTGGAAACCCAAGGTCTTTCAAACATTGCTCAGGATACAGCAGTTTGATAATATATAGAGTCTAGTAATTGCTCACATTATTAAGGTTTTTAAATAAAGTGTGTGTTAAAATATTTAAAATTAATGAAAAGAGCTTGCATTTTTAAAATGTCCAAACACAAACTAAAATTAGAGGTGTCTTCCCTAAGTTTTTTTGAACGGATGGTTTTTGAGTATATAAATACTTTCTTGGAAGATAAAAAGCCCGGGTGAACTGAATTCGACTCATCAGAGAAATGAGAAACAGTCATCAACGTGGCAAGCACATGTGACACCTAGATTTGTGTCTGTTCTGCCCGCGTATGCAACTAGGAGCTACCATGTACCAAGGTCACCTGGAGAGTAGAGGACCGGAGAGGAAAAGTATGTACGGGGAGTTATCGGGGGCATCACAGAGGCCTTCCGCTCGGGGGCTTCTGCCTCTGTGAGGACAAAGGCCACAGATCGATAGCACTAGGATCAGTAGCAACATTCTCATACACAGGGAACAAAAGATCAAATGTATTTTTTTTTAAAAAGCATCTTCCATATGATGGAAACAAAACAGAATACAGCTCTAGACATGGAGAATGTGAAATCTGTGACCAAGTATCAAGCTTATATGTGGTTATGTTTTAAATATTTTCCTATCAACTATTAAACGCTAAAGGCTGAAGGGCGACAGCCGTCGAGGATGGATTCAAATCCCGACCCTGGGACAGCCTGGCTGTGTGACTGTGCGAACAACGCGGGCCGGTGCCATGAGGCTGCGCAGCACCACGCTGAGCCGGGGCGCAGCTGTCAGCAAGGTCAGCAGAGCTCGGCAGCGTGGAGGAAGCACAAGCACAAGACTCTGAGACTTCTCCTGGCCGCAGTGCCCTCTCCAGTGACCCCACGGGCACAGCCAGTCTCCCCTTCCTGGGGTCTACGTAGCCCGAGACCTGGCCTGCTCCCGCACCCCCCCCCTTGGTGTGCTATCCTTACTTCTCTTTCTCTTTAGTTTGAGAAATTGAAAAAATCATCAGTACAAAAATCATGAAAGACCTCAATTTCTATTAAAATTGTCCTATTTGCCATCAAGCTTTTTATTAAACATAGAAAACAAGTCCCCTCTCCTCCTCTATTCCCTAAAAGGTGCACACAAGGACCCCTACAGGAGCCTGGTCTACACGCTGCTGTGCACACAGGCCCCCATGGCACACGCACAGAACTGCCCTGCCTTTCCCCGAGCACCGGGCACCAGGCCCCGGCGCCATCCTCTTCAGCCTACAGCTCAAGAGACCCTCACACAGCTGCTGGCGTGCTCACGAATCCTCCCCACACCTTTCCACCCCTTTACCTCATGCACCTGTTTGCTCCTCCCTCAAACTCTGATCAGGTAAGGATTTTGGCTTCTTTGTTTTGGGGGCACCCTATACTTCCCTGTGGTACTCAGCAGAGCGTAAAGTACCCGCCTCACTTTATTAAAGTCGTCCTTGCCCATGAGCTCCCGAGGACAGTGCATTCAACAGCGCCTGGTCTCTGCAGAGGGATTCTTAGAAAACCACCAAAGAGCAACCAGGCTCTGTGGGCGTTGGGCCACACAGCCCTACTCTGAACATCCCCTAGCCTTCCTACCCCCACCAGCATCCTTCATGCTCCCTGCTGCTAAGATTCACTCCTGGTTACCATTAGCAAGTCAACTACTTTCTGAAAAGCTGACCATCATTTAGATTTCAATACCTCCCAGAGAAATTTACTTCCCAAAATGTATATTTAGGTGACCTCCCTGTTCAGCCACTAGAAATACTCCAACATCCTCCAATTTCACTCAGAAGAAAATTAAGACGCTTTACTCTGGTCCCCAAAGGCCCAACATGAAATACCTCCCCAGGCCCCCCATCTCATCTAATACTTTTCTCCCTGACAGACAAACCCACCACAGTGATCTCTTCCAGATTGTACTGGGTGACTGAGGAGTGGGAAGATCCCCCAAGTACCACCACTTCCTTCCCCAGTTGTGCTAGGCCACCTCCCAGTAAGGGACACTGACAAGTTTGCCGAGAAGAGGTATCAGAACCCGCGAAATGCCCCTGCCCTGCTCCATGGAGGCCTTGCTCCTTGCAGCGCACAGCCCACAGCCAGCGCTTGCCCAGGACTCAGCCCCTCAGGTCCTGCCCCACACCTGCCAACTACAGGGTATGATCAGTAAGGTCCCTGGGTGGTACAAGGCGGGATTTTCAGAGATACCGCACAGAGTCACTCCAGTACACAAAGCACCACCAAACGTGAGAGCTGACGCTAACAAGAGAACTTGTTTCGTACCTGAGGCAACAATGGTGCTCGCCCACAGCGTATTTTCTATGCTGAGACTCTCATGAATGGGTGGGTCGCAGTCTTCCTGTTCATAGAGAAGGGGAAAAATGGCAAGTTAGCAACTTTTTTTTACTTCAGATATCTGCAGTGATAAAAACAAGTGTACAAGCTGGATTCAGTGAATGAGCAGTGAAATGGCAATGCAGAATAAAGGTGAAAAACAAGGGAATTTAGACGGAGGCTCCTGGGAAGAGGGCAGAGCAGGGAGCACCAGGAATCTCTCCCCACCGGGCAACGACCACACGGCAGAATCTGTCTGATGGGACTATCTGGGGACTGCGGAGTCGGCTGAAGGCTTGCAGCTGTCCAGGAGAAGTAGTCAGTTTGGGTCTCTTCTAGCTCCCAGCACAGAGCAGCTACCCAGCCGTGCGGCAGGCAGCCGTGCACGTGCTTCTGGGGCAGCCTGCAGACGCCAGGTGGGCAAGAAGCACCCGTCCTCCAAAGAGCAGGGGTCTAAGTTCTGACCACCGCCGACTGCTTCTGATCACACAGGTGCAGAAACAGAGCCTGGCGGCCGTTGCTGTCAGCCCTCCAGCTCCAGTGACTCCAAGGGCATTGGAAGGGCGAGGGTTCCCCTGTCCCCCTTCTGGGAGCCAGACATTAAACACTAGAACATTCTAAAACAACTGCATATATGGAAAAAAACACAAAGTGACTGTGGGTGCCCAAGAAAAAGCTCAGAAAAGACCTGAAAAGACATTAAATGTACATCTCAGACTGATAACCCAGCACAGAGACAGTCTATAATAATAAAAAATAAGTAAATCAATAAATAAATATAATGACTAAAACCCCAGCAAGCCCAGAAGAAGGGTGAGAATGGACTTCTAGAGTTACATCATTATACTTAAAAAAAAAAAGTGTTCAACAATAACAAGGCATTAAAAAAAAAAAAAAGTATGGTCCATTTATTTATTTATTTTAAAGATTTTATTTATTTATTTGAGAGAGAGAGTGAGAGACAGCATGAGAGGAGAGAGGGTCAGAGGGAGAAGCAGACTCCCTGCTGAGCAGGGAGCCAGATGTGGGACTCGATCCAGGGACTCTGGGATCATGACCTGAGCCGAAGGCAGTCGCTTAACCAACTGGGCCACCCAGGCGCCCAGTATGGCCCATTTAAAGGAAAATTGTAAATCAACAGAAATAACCCCTGAAAAAGACCTGATGTTAGATATACTAGACAAAGACTTTAAAAGGAAGTTATTAAGGATGTTTAAAGAAATGAAGATGTGAAGAATGCCAAGAAAACAATGTGTGAACGAAACGTAAATATGAAGACAGAAAACCTAAACAGAAACCAGAAGAAAGTCAAGAGCTGAAAAGTACGATGACTGAAATGAAAATTTCCCTAAAGAGATTCAAGGCAGATCTAACCACGCAGAAGAATCAGCAAACCTGAACACAGAACAATGGAAATGACCAAGTCTGGGAAACAGAATGAAAACAGGTGGAGGAAAATTAAAAGGGTCTGAGGGAGTGCAGGACACCAAGGTACAAACCAATATATGTATTGTGGGAGTCCCAGAAGTGGAAGACAGAGTGAAAAGGGCAGAGAGAATATGTGAAGAAGTAATGGATGAAAACACCCCAAATCTGATGAAAGACATGCATGTAAACAGTGAAGAAGCTCAAGCAAATCCAAGGAAGATGAACTCAAAGAGACCCACATAGAGACACATTATAATATATAACAAAGACAAGGACTCCCAAGGTGGTTCAGTCATTAGGCGTCTGACTTTTGTTTCGACTTAGGTCATGACCTCAGGGTTGTGAGACTGACCCCCACATTGGACTCCACGATCGGCGCGGAGTCTGCTTGAGATTCTCTCTTTCTCCCTCTGTCCCTCCCCATCACATGTTCTCTATCTCTTTCTCGAAAATAAATAAATAGGGTAGCTCTATTTTTAATTTTTTGAGGCACCTCCACACTGTTTTCCAAAGTGGTTGTACCAACTTGCATTCCCACCAACAGTGTAAGAGGGTTCCCCTTTCTCCACAACCTCTCCAACATTTGCTGTTTCTTGCCTTGTCAATTTTTGCCATTCTAACTGGTGTAAGGTGGTATCTTAATGTGGATTTGATTTAAATTTCCCTGATGGCTAATGATGATGAACATTTTTTCATGTGTCTGTTAGCCATGTGTATGTCTTCTTCAGAGAAGTGTCTGTTCATGTCTATTGCCCATTTTTTGACTTATTTGTTTTTTGGGTGTCGAGTTTGAGAAGTTCTTTATAGATCCTGGAAATCAGCGCTTTGTCTGTAGTGTCATTTGCAAATATCTTCTCCCATTCCGTGGGCTGCCTCTTTGTTTTGTTGACTGTTTCCTTTGCTGTGCAGAAGCTTTTTATCTTGATGAAGTCCCAATAGTTCATTTTTGCTTCTGTTTCACTCGTCTTTGGAGATGTATCTTGAAAGAAGTTGTGTGGCCAATGGCAAAGAGGTTACTGCCTATGTTCTCCTCTAGGATTTTGATGGATTCCTGTTTCACATTAGCTACCCTATGACCCAGCAATTGCACCACTGGGTATTTACCCCAAAGACACAGATGTAGTGAAAAGAAGGGCCATATGCACCCCAATGTTCACAGCAGCAAAGTCTGCAATAGCCAAACTGTGGAAAGAGCCGAGCCCATCAACAGATGAATGGATAAAGAAGACGTGGTCCATATATACAATGGAATATTACTCAGCCATCAGAAAGGATGAATACCCAACTTTTACATCAACATGGATGGGACTAGAGGAGATTATGCTAAGTGAAAAAGGTCAAGCAGAGAAAGTCAATTATCATATGGTTTCACCCATTTGTGGAATGTAAGGAATAGCATGGAGGACATTAGGAGAAGGAAGGGAAAAATAAAGGGCAGGGGGAATCGGAGGGGGAGACGAACCATGAGAGATTATGGACTCTGAGAAACAAACTGAGGGTTTTAGAGGGGAGGGGAGTGGCGGGATGGGTGAGCCCGGTGATGGGTATTAAGGAGGGCACGTACTGCATGGAGCACTGGGTGTTATATGAAAACAATGAAATCGTGGATCACTACCTCAAAAACTAATGATGTATTGTATGGTGACTAACATAACATAATAAAATAAAATTTTTAAAAATTAAATAAATAAATCCTTAAAAAAAAAAAAAGACAAAGACAAAAACAGAATCTTGAAAGCAGTATGAAAGAAGCAAACCATCACATACAAGGGATCCCCAATAAGGTTATATGCAGATTTTTCATTAGAAATACTGGAGACTAGAAGGCAGTGTGCTGATATATTCAAAGTGCTCAAAAACAAACAAACAAACATCCATGTCAGCCAAGAATCCCATATCCAGCAAAACTGTCCTTCAAAAATATGGGTAAAATCAAGACATTCCCAGAAAAACAAAAGCTTAGAGAGTATGTGTCCACCAGACCTTTCCTGCAAGAACTGTTCAAGGGAGTCCTGCAGGTGAAAGGAGAGGATACAGTAACTCAAAACTACATGGGGAAATAAAGATCTCAAGAACGGTGATGTATACAGGCAATTATAAAAGCAAATATTATTGTAACAATGGTTTGTAACTGCACTTTTTTTTTTTTTTTAAGATTTTATTTATTTATTTGACAGAGAGAGACACAGCGAGAGAGGGAACACAAGCAGGGGGAGTGGGAGAGGGAGAAGCAGGCTCCCCGCAGAGCAGGGAGCCTGATGCGGGACTCGATCCCAGGACCCTGGGATCATGACCTGAGCTGAAGGCAGACACTTAACCAACTGAGCCACCCAGGCGCCCTGTAACTGCACTTTTTGTTCTCTACATGACTTAAGAGACTAATACATAAAACCGAGTATTGTTGTAATTTTGGTTTGTAACTCCAAATCTTGTTTTCTACATTAAGAGGCTGGTGCATTTAAAAGAAGTATTTGTTTACATTTTTAGGCACAGAACGTATAAAGATGTAATTGTGTGACATCAGCAAACAAAAGGGGTGGGGATAGAGCTATAAAGGAGCACAGCCTTTGTATGTTATTCAACTTAAGTTGGTATAAATTCAAATTAGAGTGTTATATCTTTAGAATGTTGAATGTAATTCCCATGGTAACCACAAAGAAAACAGCTATAGAATATGCACAAAAGGAAATGAGAAATTTAAACATTTCCCTACAAAAACCCCAACTAAACACAATAGAAGACAGTAATGTAGGAAATGAGAGACAAAAAAAAAATATATATATATATATAAGGAACATAAAAAATTGAACAAAGACAGAAGTTAAGTCCCTTCTTTTCAGTAATTACTTCAAATATCAATGGATTAAACTCAACAATCAGAAGACAGAGATTGGCACAATGGATAAAAATACATGATCCAACTGTATACTGTCTACATGCTGAGACTCACTTTAGATCCAAAGACACCAAGAGGTTGCAAGTAAAAGCACAGGAAGAGATATTCCATGGGAATAGTAAGCAGAAATGAGCAGCTGAGGCTATACTAATACCAGAAAAATTAAATGTTAAACCAAAAAAGGTTATAAGAGACATTATATGTTCATTAAACGTTCAATAAGGCAGGAAGATATGCTTATAAACAACTTGCATCTAATGAAAATCTGTAAAAATAGACGAAGCAAAAACTGATAGAATTTAAGGGAGAAACAGCTCAACAGTAATAGAGACCTTAATATTCCACTCACAATTATGGCTAGAACAACCAGACAGAAGTAAGTAAAGAGAAAACTTGGCAAAATAAGCCAACTAGATCTAACAGACATGCAGAACATTCCACCCCAAAACAGCATACACATTCTTCCCAAGCGCAATGGGACATTTCCCAGGACAGACCTTATGTTACAAATTAAGCCCCAACAGATCATCATACAAAGTATCTACTCCAACCACAATGAGATAAAGATAGAAATCAATAACAGAAAATTCACAGAACTGTGGAAATTCAACAACACTTTTAAACAACCAATGGATTACAAAGAAATCACAAAGGGAATTAAAAGATACTTAGAGACAAATGGTAAAAAACTTGTGAGGTGC